GGCCACCCGGGATGTCCCCAAAAGGGTCCTGAGGACACCCAAGATGTCCCCAAGTCCATGGAGGACGTCCCCACACGCCCTTGGGCCATCGGGGATGTCCCCAGAGGGTCCCTGGGCCACCTATGATGGCCCCAAGTCCATAGAGGACATCCCCACAAGTCCTTGGGCCATCCGGGATGTCCCCAGAGGGTCCCAAGCTCCATCCAACGATGTCCCCAGATGTCCCAGGTCCATCCCAGATGTCCCCAAAGGGTCCCAAGGTCCAACTATGTCCCCAGATGTCCCCAGGGTCCATCCACGACGTCCCCAGCTCCATCCTGGACGTCCCCAAATGTCCCAGCTCCATCCGGGCCACCCCGAGATCTCCGAAGTCCATCCACAACGTCCCCACCAGGTCCTCAGGCCACCAGGACACATCCTCCATCCCTCCCCCCTGCCCTGTCCTTGTCACCCCCCTCGGTGGGTACATGTCCCCACAGGGGTGGTGGCACCAAGTGGTGCCACCGTCCCCCGCGCTCAGAGCTTGAGCTCGTTGGCCACCTGGGAGGTGATGTTCTTGAAGGCCGTGGAGGTGCCGGTGACATGTTTGAAGCCAACCAGGTCCTTGGGCCACCGGGACACATCCCCCACAGCATTGTCACCCCCTACGTCAGGTAGGTGTCCCCACAAAGGTGGGGTGGTGGCACCAGGAGTCACCGTCCCCCTGTCTCCCCCCCCGGCTCAGAGCTTGAGCTCGTTTGGCCACCTCAGAGGTGATGCTGAAGGCCATGGAGCTGCCACGGTGATGCGGTTGAAACCCACCACGTCCTTGGGCCACTGGGATGGGTCCTCCAGGACATCGTCACCCCCACTGTCACACAAATGTCCCCACCGGAGTGGAGGGGGTGGTGGCACAGGGCCACTGTCACCCCACTCAGAGCTTGAGCTCGTTGGCCACCTCAGAGGTGATGCTGAAGGCCATGGAGGTGCCACGGTGATGCGGTTGAAGCCCACCACGTCCTTAGGGTACCGGGATGGGTCCTCCACGACATTGTCACCCCCCACGGCAGGTAGGTGTCCCCACAAAGGTGGCATGGTGACACCGGGAGGGCCCCCCCCGCGCTCCCAGCTTGGGAGCGTTGGCCACCTGGGAGGCGATGTTCTTGAAGGCCGTGGAGGTGCCGGTGACATGTTTGAAGCCAACCAGGTCCTTGGGCCACCGGGACACATCCCCCACAGCATTGTCACCCCCTACGTCAGGTAGGTGTCCCCACAAAGGTGGGGTGGTGGCACCAGGAGTCACCGTCCCCCTGTCTCCCCCCCCGGCTCAGAGCTTGAGCTCGTTTGGCCACCTCAGAGGTGATGTTGAAGGCCATGGAGCTGCCACGGTGATGCGGTTGAAACCCACCACGTCCTTGGGCCACTGGGATGGGTCCTCCAGGACATCGTCACCCCCACTGTCACACAAATGTCCCCACCGGAGTGGAGGGGGTGGTGGCACAGGGCCACTGTCACCCCACTCAGAGCTTGAGCTCGTTGGCCACCTCAGAGGTGATGCTGAAGGCCATGGAGGTGCCACGGTGATGCGGTTGAAGCCCACCACGTCCTTAGGGTACCGGGATGGGTCCTCCACGACATTGTCACCCCCCACGGCAGGTAGGTGTCCCCACAAAGGTGGCATGGTGACACCGGGAGGGCCCCCCCCGCGCTCAGAGCTTGAGCGCGTTGGCCACCTTGGAGGCGATGTTCTTGAAGGCCGTGGAGGTGCCGGTGACACGGCTGAAGCCCACCACGTCCTCGGGGTACCGGGATGGGTCCTCCGCAGCGTTGTCACCCCCCTCTCATTGCATCCACGTCCCCACGGGGGCCGGTGGCACCGGGGAGGGGGGTGTCACCGTCACGCCGCTCAGAGCTTGAGCTCGTTGGCCACCTTGGAGGCGATGTTCTTGAAGGCCATGGAGGTACCGGCGATGCGTTTGAAGCGGACGCCGTTGAGGGACAACCGAGGGAGTTTACACACCTCCATCTCCCATTGGACGAAGGAGTCGTGACCGGGAGCGCCGTGAGCGCAGAGGAGGACGAAACGTTCCTGAGGTTCGCACCGACAGCTGTTGGCATCCAGAACCTTCCGGATCTCTCGTAACATCTCGCCCGGTTCTAAGGAACTGGTGGTTTTCATGCTCCAGGTGAAGCGTAAGGAACGGGGTTTGGCCTCGCGTCCACCCCCTTCGCGTCCTTCTTTCTCCGGCCCCACGGCGGGTCTGGGGAGGACACGGAAAGGGGACATGTGGGGACGTCGGGGTCGTCAAGGGGACAGGGGGGGCTGAGTGGCATAGGGAACCCATAGGTGGCACCAGGACTACCACAGATGCCACCAGGACCACCACGGAAGTCCTGGGTGTCACAGGGACCCCATGGACGTCACCAGGATCCCATGGATGCCACCAGGACCACCATGGATGCCACCACAACCAGCATGGTGGGCCTGGGTGTCTTGGAGACCACATGGGTGTCACCAGGACCACCATGGATGTCACCAGGACCACCATGGAGGTTCTGGGTGTCACAGGGGTCCCATGGACGTCACCAGGACCCCATGGGTGTCATGGGGACCCTGGGGGTGTCACAGATGTCATGGAGGCCCTGGAGGTGACACGGGGACCCCAGGGGTGTTGTGGGTGTCATGGGGACCCTGGGGGTGTCACAGATGTCACGGAGGCCCTGGAGGTGACACGGGGACCCCAGGGGTGTCATGGGGACCCTGGTGGTGTCACAGATGTCACAGGGGCCCTGGAGGTGACACGGGGATCCCATAGGTGACACAGGGACCCCAGGGGTGTCGTGGATGTCATGGGGACCCTGGGGGTGACACGGGGATCTCATGGGCATCACAGGGACCCTGCGGGTGACATGGGGGCCCTGGAGGTGACACTGGGACCCCAGGGGTGTTGTGGGTGTCATGGGGACCCTGGGGGTGACACGGGGATCCCATGGGTGACACGGGGACCCCGGGGGTGACACTCACCTCAGCGTCTCCACCCGGTCCTTGCTCTCGGGCTCGTGCGGGTTCCTCGAGAAACGAGAAGGGGCCGAGATCAGCGTGGGGGGAGAGGGGGGATTTGGGGGGGGGCGGGGCAGCCCCTCCCCCTCCCGCCACGGGGCCCGGGGGGGGGGGGGCATGGGGGCACAGGGGGCAGACGCACACGCG